GTGCTTCTGCCTTTCTAATCTTCCCCCTACATACCTGTGTTATTGGCTTATATTCATCTGTTGTACTTTGACCTAGTTTCCACTTTTTATACAACTCCTTTTTGATTTTTAGATCATTCAAGCTCTCCAGGTTAAGCTAGGGTGGCCTGAAATTGTGAAATAGGCTGTCTAGACAGCTGGCTGCAGGCACTAATGCGCTAGGTCCCTGCCTTCATACCTAAGTGCCAGAAGAGCAAAGCCAGCCAGGAATGAAAGGCTGGAAACTGGAGTTGTCTGGGTTGCAACAGGGATGACTTTTGAGGCTACTGGCCATGGCTACACAGGTGCAGTCAAAGTACTGGTAGGTCTATGAGGTGCTAGCAAGCCTGTGGAGAAGTGTGGCTCTAAGGGTATGTCTAGACTACATGCCTCTGTCAACAGAGGCATGTAAAACAGGCTACCCTACATAGTCAATGAAGCAGGGATTTAAATATCCCCGGCTTCATTAAAATAAAAATGGCTGCCACGCTGTGCCGGCTCAGCTGATCGTTGGCACAGCATGCGAGTCAAGATGCGGATCGGTCAACAGGGAACACCTTTGTCGACCACTCCCTTATATCTCGTGAAACAAGGTTTACAGGAATGGTCAACAAAGGCGCCGCCATTTTTAAATGCCCCGTAGTTCGAACTACCTACCTGTGGCTACACGCGGCACAGACTAGGTAGTTTGCATTAAAGCTCCTAATTCGAACTACCGTTAGTCCTCCTGCATGGATTTTAATGCATCTTCTGGCTGTGTTGTAGAAAGGACAGAAGGTGATCACACTTCATCCCCAAATAAGTAGGGTGGGGTTCAAAAACAACTTGCTGATTGAGCCGAAGGACTTGCAGCTAGGGATGAGCTAACTGGCTGATGAGATGGAAACAAGATGACACTGTCTTTAGTGAATTTAGTCTAAGTCACCCCTGGCCAGAATGTCAAAATCAGATGACAGGCAGGACTCCAGATCCTCCAAGCTCCTTCTGGCTACTGCCAGGCAGTTGTCATCAGCATACACGAACTTAGTTGCCCAGGTGGGCGGCAGGTCAGCTGTCTGTATATTAAAGAGACTTGGAGCGAGTAAGGATTCCCAGGGAAATGCATTGTTCATGGACGTGGGTGACTTGACCTGTCTGCATGCTTAGTGATCTCTGTTCTACTAGAAATGATCTGCATAATAAACTATACCACTTTTTGTCTGGGGTCACAGGGAATAATGTTATGACTAGTCCACAGTGCCAAATTGTGTTGTATGCTAGCGTAAGGTCAACAACCAGCATGCTAACCTCCAGCCTCGCTAAAGGCATCCTCAGTAAAAGATGTCAGTCTAATCACTTGATTCTCAGTGCTACAACCCAGTCTGAATTCTAGGTGGCACGCTGTCAAAGTGCCAATCTAGGAATGCAAGAGCTCAGATAGCATGAGGAGAGGAGATATATGAGTTAAACACATTAAACACATGGGCTTCATCTTCACTGCGAGTTCTTCTGGCAGAAAACATGCTAAGGAGGGACTCATTAGCATAAGTCACTATCTCATTAGCATATTTTCTGCCGTTTCTTTTTGCGAAAGGGATTTTTGAACAAAAAGAAGCAGTGTGGATGGGATTTTTTTGTGAAAAAACTCTGATTTGCACAAGATCCTTATGCCTGTCCCAGAGAGTCATAAGGATCTTGCGCAAAACAGGGTTTTTGCACACACAAGAAACACATCCACACTGCTGCTTTTTGCGGATCAACCCCTTACACAAAAAGAAATGGCAGAAAATATGCTAATGAAATCATGAATTATGCTTATGAGTCCCTCATTAGCATATTTTCTGCCGGAAGATCTCGCAGTGAAGACGTAGCTCTGCAGGGGGGGACAAAGGGGAAGAAAGTAGGAGGCATGTGTCAAGCTATCCTGCAGTAGCTCAAGACTGTGGACAGACAAGCAAGCCAGAAAACACAGCTCCTGATCCCCCCCCTGCCTGATGCAGGCTCTTCCGTCCCCCGCCTCCTCGCAGGCAGGGTGCAGAACCCTGTAATGAATTCGCGAGAACTCCTAGCATAGAACAGCTCCATGATGTGATGCAAAGTTTAATTTGATTTCTCACTTGAGTAGCTGAGATGTTTTCGATACACTCCCTTCAGCTTCTCCCGATAAATTCTCTGCATACAATTAGCACTGCCGGGTGCCCACATTCTCCCTTCCCTCAAACTCCTGCTCCACTCCTTCCCTTTCCTTTTCCTGCCCTGCTCCCTGAATGCTTCCAGCTTCCTGGTACTGAAGTATGTGTCTAAGAGATGTCCCTAGCCCCTCAAACCCACAGGTCTAGCCAAGGCTGCAAACTCTGAGCATGTCACATTCTCCAATATTCTCAAAGGGAAAGGGAGTTTGGACAGGAGCACTGATCTCCTCCTGCCTACAGAAGAGCAGCATTCATAGACTTAAAAGCAGCAGCTCCAGGCAGTTTATAATAGCCCTGCTGCGTGGGTAGCGCTCTCTGGGTTCAGTGTTAGCCAGAGATGTCTGGGGACTTGCAGGTCCCCTGAGGTTAGCTCTCTCTGTGGCCAGGATGTGGTATAAATAGAGCGGAGCCCATATGCAGAGTCTAAACATAGGCCTGGCTGGCCTCCACATTTTAGGGAAGCTGGTGATGAGCAATACATTCCAGCTGGGACAATCTGCTCCTTTGTGCCAAGCCCGTATCCCTTAGAAATCTCTCTCCAATGAACCACCGGTTGCATACCCAGCAAAACAGACAGAGGAGAGACAGTTAAACCTTGAGTTGCCTTTTATTCAATACTCAGTCAAAGAACATTCATCTCCAACCCCCCGTCCAAAGAAAAACAGTGAACCTGTCTAATTTCTTTGAATATTAACATTTGGCAGACATAACTGTCCTGTTAAACATGTATACAGAGGACTCACTCAGTTTAACACAATCACTAGAAACAGCATGGAGGTTGTAATGATGCTCCCTCTGAACACTGGGTTAAATAGAGATGTGATGCCTACATTCCTGCGTGACACCTCTTTGAACAAAAGCTGCCTATTGCAATAACTGTTTTGTGTCTGATACTTCCATGGCAAGGTTTTGTAAACTTGTCAAAACTTCCAGGATACCTTGTAAGAGAATAAGAAAGCTCTCTCCAGATCTTCCTGTGGGAAGCAAGGGTTGTTTTCTGGAGGAGCTGCTCTCTGCAGTCCCTTTCACATACACCCCGGATAGATTTCTAAGCATCCCTCCCCTGGTTCCTCATGGCTGACACGGACTACCTGGGCTGCTCTGGGATTGGTCAGAAGGGCTGATTTAGGGGAAGCAATGCACTTCCTCCTCCTATCAGGACAGGGGCTAGTGTGCATGAGTAGTTTGAGTACATGAGATTGGGGATCTGTCTTCAATTCTGCTACTGACCTGCTGTGCCAAGTCACTTACCCTTGCAATGCCTGTAAGATGACAATCAGAGCCCTTACCCACTCCCCTTTGTAAAATGCCTGGTCCTGTGCTACAAAAACCAGGCTCCCTCTCTCTCTCTCTCTCTGTCTCTCTCCATCTCACTGCATTCCATTTTCCAAAACCCTGCCTGACCCTTTGGAGAGAGGACTTCCCGGAGACCAAACAGAGCAGCAGTTGGCTGAGCCAACAGGAGACAACAGCCCTATTCTGTGGCATTGGGGACACAGTGAAGGATGGCAGCATTAATGGAGTCAGACAGCAGATTATTCCAGTCTCTGTAGGTGAGATGTGTTCTTGGGTCAGAAGGAGGATTTTCAATGTGGTATGGTCCCAGCCAGATGCCAGCCAACACAGTAATAAATCCCCCTGCAGTTTCAATAGGATATGGCATTCCACAGCTTTTCCCATGCAGAACTTCTGTGTTCCACCCCAGAGGCGGATGCATTTCAGAGTCAGAAGTTTGTATAAGTTTACAACAAGAGTCTACAACTCAATTTACTTCAAGGCCAGAGCCAGTCTTCAAATCCTTCTAGAGGGCCAGCAGAAACCCTCCTCTGGCAGAACTCTGGGAGCCAGGGGAGAGGGTCCCCATGTGCTTCCCCTCCACATGTCTGTTGACCCTGTCTGCTTCCTCCCCCCCCCCCCCCACCAC